AGAGAGAGAGAGAGAGAGAGAGAGAGAGAGAGAGAGAGAGAGAGAGAGAGAGAGAGAGAGAGAGAGTATGCTTGCCTTTAGTGTGAGTATGTATGTAAGTCAGAGAGAGAGAGAGAGAGAGTATGCTTGCCTTTAGTGTGAGTATGTATGTAAGTCCGACTGTGTGTTTGGCTTGAAACTGACATTTCCTATTGTCGTGACTTGCAGGGATTGCATTATGTAAAATTTGGTTTCCCTAGTGTACATCATCTTCTTCTTCTTATAATTATCGATCTCGCCACTCAAGTTCAAAAAACTGACATAAGATACCATCAGATGTGTGAAAAATATATATATATATATATATATATATATCACTTGCTTGTCTGACAATTTTTTCCGGCACTCACACACAGACAATCTCAAACACGCCCACACATGCTTAATAAGAGGGGGAGAGGTGACAGAGTCAAAACTGCACACAGACAAGGATAAGCAGCGGAATTCAACCATGCGCACATGGGGGAGGTCAGACAATGACTCTCGTTCTCCGACAGACTCCCAACAAACAATCACAATAAAGAACCTCAGCAAGATCACAATTGATATGATGCTGATGATGAGCCAACTCGAACGAATATCATAACAGAGTTTGTTCCAGTCCCTTGCTCCCCAATCGGTTTCCCTCATTCTACTAATAGAGTACATTAGTCTAACCTACACCTAGACCGGACTGACTAACCGACCAATACCGTTGTAGTTTCGGCCTCTCGGCCTCTACCGGACCCGACTATAGGCTATAGAACCGTCTATCAGCTTAGGCCATTACGGCCTGTCTGTCCTGGGGGTAGTCCGGGCCTGCTATTCGCAGCAAGGGTACGTATAGGAAATTTGAAATACTGTTGGGTCTATATTTTCCATAATTATAAGTATGACCCTCACAAATTTTCCTCACAGGTTCGTCTCACGCTTAGCCCTCAGTCGAATAAAATTACAAATGTGACCCTACGGGGTAGTATACAGCCTCGCCATCAGTCTTGGAAGTTAGACTGAGCAAAAATAGATATATATACACAGGCAAAGAGACGGACAAAGTAGAATATATACATTTATATATATATATATATATGACATAATGTAGCGTAACAAACAAGACACCACGAGATGTGTGTGAACAACGCCATGCTCAATGAAATTCGGATCACCAAACCGATGTCATGTCAACGATAAAGCCATTCAACCAGTCAAACGCTGAACAACTTTTTATCGTCACCCTCAGATTCGGAGCTCGATGTTTGGACCCAATCATCGCATACAGGCACCGCATCGTCCTCCACGTGACCGATGATGAAAACACGGTTCTCCCCCACCGCCTCATGGCCAGAACCTGAGGCAGCAGCATCAACGACTTCCACTGGGTCGCCCCCACCGTTGACGAACAAATCATGCGGCAATGGCCTGGCTCCATAAGGACAAACCTCCTGTCGCAGAAGCTCTCGAACCCATTCTCAAACATGAGTCGAACCGAACACTGACGCCGCCAATCAGTCCTCCCAACAGTCGATCTCCTAGTGACCGTAGTGTCGACGGAAGCTTGGTCTCGCACGTATGGAAGTGCCCGCAGCAATGTGAGCAACATACCCGACCGGGTAGCGCCAGCAGTGACTGTTCCACCGAATCACTGCGATCGACAAACGTGCATAGAAAGACTTCTCGAAATGCACCGACTTCTTCGCATAGATAATGATGGTGCCCTGAAAAGTCTCCACCGCCGATGTATGCCGAAACTCGACGTAGTACGGCGTGATGTAAGTGCTGCATTGTTTATCGAGAACACGGAGAACGAGCTCGTAGACCGTATCCGTGCGGCTATACAAAGGCAATCGTGCACGCCCACCGGCCTTCTCGCACAGAACCTCCCTACTGTCGACACATCCCGAATGATCACCAGCCCAATGATCGGCGACCAACATGATGTCGTGGTGTAGACTGTCGGCGTCTTCGCCCTCCTCCTTGCACAGCTGGCAAGCGCGGAGGAACCACATCCCAACCTCATGCGCATGATACTCTGTCAAGCCGTGTAGATCAATCTCCAACGCTCGAGCATTCAACCTCGATCCGTAGGGGTACATCTTTCACATGACGACAGCGACGAAATGCGATTTTTTCATCCGCTCCGGAGCAGGTGTGAGGACGTTAGGTCCGAAACGCTGCTCAAACGCCTCCTTTAGCCGCTTCTTCATGAACTGCATAAACTGCGCCTCTGACACACAGTCATGCGGGCTGCTTACTTTCTTCGCTTCCTTCAGTTGCAGCATACAATGAAAGTGCTTGCGAATGTTTTTTATTTTGTGGTGGCAATCCTTCTGCCACTTGATGTTCATAGCTCGCAACTTCGGTCCCAGCGCGGCACAATCATCCGAGACAACGCACCGGATCTTCAACCCCTTGTCCATCAGCCCTCGCAAAAGTTGCACGACGACTGGCACCTCAAGCGCATTCGATGCCTTGCCTTCAATCTTCGGACGGAGAGTGTGAACACCTACAACAAGCCGAGTCTCGTACTCCATCGCGGTGACAGTGCAATGTTGCGCGCCTCTGGCAGAGTCATATCGACCATCAACCATCAATGTCACTGGCTCACCACGGCGCATCACAGTGTCAATGGCAAGCTCGCAATATTTTATGCCTTGCCATACAACCTTGGCATTCCACGCCTCCGCCCCCCCCGGTTCTGTGCGCATAAACTTGTAGAATGTGGGTTTGTGCACCGAGCACATCCCTAAACAAACACAAAAGTTGTCAAGGAGCGTGAACGTAAGACAGCGGTGACAGTCGCATGAAAGAGTTGCTGCATCACTCGCGGATGATAGACGTTCGTGGTCACGAGTGCCGTGTGCCACGTCCATTTGCATTTCTTGTCGCATACGAACGTCAGCTTACAGAGTTGCGCAGGATAGGAGACGGACTCCACAGACATACGGCACGAGCCCTTGTGCCAAGGGCAATATAGATGAGACACGGCCAGCAATTGAAGAAGCTTGACCGGCTCCATAAACATAACATCCGGCGCTGTCGGTCCACTCCACAAGGCCATGGCCTCCTCAACACAGGCACGGTCAATTTTAGGCCCAGGACTGCACTGGTTAACACCATCCCAACTATCCCACCACGTCTGCGGCTAGGCATGTGTCAGTGTGCAGTGACCTGCGCTGCGGGGTCTGCCATGCCCTCTATCACTGCGCTGCGATGCGCGACGCGATGACGGGAACGAGTTCTGCGATCCGTCATGAGACTCCCCCAACCCTCCGCTCGCTGAACCCTGCGAACCCCCCTGACCGTAGTCAGCACCGGAATCGCCTGGCATATAACGCAACGCGAAATCTCGACCGCACACCCGAGATGGCAACAAAGAAGAAATTACACCTTTTACCTCGTCACCAAACTCCGCACGGCTGGCTGGCAAAGACCAGTGGAGTAGTCGATCAATAACGTCGCTGACCTGTCCACGTTGGTCACCCACACCGGCCATAGCGTCATGGAGAGCGTACAACCGTCTCTGACACGCGTCCCTCACACACACGCACGATGCTGTTGCCGCCCGAACACGGCGTGCCGCCAACTGCCGCAGAGCTATCCACATCGCCAAACGGAGGTGTGGAATCAGGAGTGACAAAGGGAGCCTCAGGCGGCACCGCAAACGAACCCGCCGCCGCGCCGACGACTCGTGGACGTGAAACGGTTGGACAACGCCAAGCGTCGCTGCGATCTCCTGAAAGAGAACCGCCTCCAGCGGGACATGGCGGGGCCACCACATATGACCATACAGGTGCTAAACGAATCGTGGCCGCATAGTTCAACCGTCTAGGCAGCAGTGGGGATGGCAGCAACGGACCACCATACACACCTCCATACGCGGCCTCGTCACGAACCCCGGCCACACCCGGCGGAGAAGCCCCCAACACACCAGCGAAAGGCGAAATGGGTGTCATGCCTGGGCCAACGACGCTGTCAGTCGCATGCGAAACGGTACCGCGACGCCTTTTCCCCAACTGGACCTCCGGACCACCGCTGTGCGGCCAAACGCCCAACAACCCCCGCGCTGCACATGGAGATCGATCGACGCTTTGGTGAGGATCGGGCGTCCCCTGCAGAGATCCCGCAACGGGCGATGATCGAGCGGGGACAACGTCTCCACCTGTCGGTGACATTGTCAATGTCAGGGTCTGCACAACACCGAGAGTCAGACAAGCACGAAGTAAGGAGTAGGCTATATATATATATATATATATATATATATATATATATACATACGTATGTGTGTGTGTGTGTGTGTGTGTATGAGAAGCAGAGAGAGAGAGAGAGATTTGTTTATAGATTGATTGATTGATTTATTGATGCAAGGAGCATGAATATGGACGAAGCACAAAAATCCATATTGCAAAATCACAACGAAGTCCAGATAGTCAAAGCCAGAGCACATAGCACGATGGAACCGAGCAAGCATCTATTTGAGAATGATACAGAAGAATCGTGAGTCAAGGTCGGGCGAACAAGACAACACCAACAACACAACCCAATGTAACTCTCTCTTGTGAACGGCACAAGGCGCCCTATCTAGTCTACATCCTAAACCTACAACTACAGTAATGAAAGCAACCAGACAACTTTACTACCAATGCCGACTTCTACCAACACCAACAGCACAAACCAATGTACCTCTCTCTTGTGAACGGCGCAAGGCATCCTATCTACTCTATAGCCTGAACCTACAACTACAGTAATTAAAGCAACCAGACAACTTGACTACCAGCGAGTGATGATGTGAACACCAATGCCAACTTCTACCTTCACAAGGCACGTGTCCTCTTCATCCACACTCTCCATTGTTACCCACGGACGTGGCCTACACCTCCGATGAACCACCTTTGCCCTTACCTCCCCTGCGCCCTCAGGCAGCCCGGATCAATCAAGCAAGCAAGCAAGCAATCAACCAATCAATGACTTAGTCTATTGATTGATTGATTGATTGAAATTAGTTTTTTTTTTTTTTTTTTT